AAAGCACAAAGAACAAAATAACATAGGCTTGAGTGTCACATATTTCCTCTTCTCATGACTGGTTAAAGTAGAGAGTGAGGTGGCAAGAGGGAGAGGGAGAGAGAGGGAGAGAGAGAGAGAGAGGGAGAGAGAGAGAGGGAGAGAAATGGTGTGGGCTGGTGAGATAAGTGCCCTGCAGGACTTCACAGGGAGATTCTGGGCTCAGTGGGTAAGGAATAGACCTCACAAAAGCTCCTTGGGGAGCACTGTGTTGTCCCAGAAACCTCCAATCTTGGATTGATTTTCTTAAAGCTTTTAGACTTCCTTTGGGCTTAACTCTAATACAAGGTCAATAGCCAGTGCTCCCAGGTATATCCAGCTATCCCTTGGGCCACACAACCCTATCGTTCTGTACTCTACTCTCTCCAGAAATAATAGTTCATATGTAGCACCACAGATGTGGTTTAATAGCACTTAACCTTCAAAATATAATTTGAAAACAGTTCTAGATAACACTCACTCTGTTGCTATCTTAGTTGGTTTACAAAAAGGAGTTTATATATGAACAAGGTGGCAATACAAACCTTCAGGGAAAAGACTTTTCAATGAATGGGTGAAGTAAAGTGAGCCAGAGTAGGGAAATGAATGCAGAAGTATTTCAGGGAACGTAATCCTGAAGGTTGGATGTTGTCCTTTTGATTTGTTTGAAAAAACACAAAACATAGGACTAATGATGTAGGAATCATTAATTGTGTAAGAAATCATGGGAATGGAATGCAATAAAAACATTAAAGCTATGCAATGGAAGTAGCCGTGTCAAGAACAGAGACTAGAAGAGAATTTGTACTGGCTTCAGAAAGACGGCCAAAGACAATGAAAAGTTGAGGCTAAACAAGAACTGGAATTTGCTTTACTATCAAATCAAAGGAAGAATGCAAGGATCGATTGGAGTGGGGTCATTTGTGCTATCTTAAGAACTTGCATATATGGGAAGCTAATACTTTTTTGTCAGAGGGACGCTATTATTTAGCAGTAATGACTGAAAATAATATCAAATGTTATAGTTATTTATATATAAATCATATTTATATTTTATTTTTAAAAATGTAATTCTTTCACAGAAACATGTTGTGGATTTTAGAATTGTCCTTTTTGATCCATGCTTTTGTTCTGTTGAGAAATAAGAAAAATCTATCTAAGGTGTGCGGCTGATATTTGGAGTGGATATTTAGAATTATGTATGCAAAATAAAATTAAAGTTAAAACTATTTTTTTTTTGCTGAGATTTAGTAGGATACATATGATGTCTCAATAAGTTATAGATGTTGCTGCAGTAAAGGAAAAGCAAATCACTTAAATAATTTTTAATTTCATTGGCTAGGCACCTGGGGAAAGAAAAGGCTAGATCCTTTGAAATCATTAATAACATAAAAGAGTGCAACAGTTTCGGTTTCACAAATTCAAATGCCTCTGACCACCCTTCTATCAATTTGAATGAGTGAAGCAGCTGAGTGTGAGAAGCTAGGGATGGGACATCGGTTAAGGTCTTGCCTGCTCAAGACATTCAAATTCAGTTAAAAATACATGTTCTGGAAAAACAAATACCTTCACAGGTTCCAGTTTGTAACGCCTGATTTCTCTCAAAAACACTGGGAGTTTTTACATGATATAAAGCAGTTTCTTTGCTATTCATGACCATATACTTTAATGTGGTAGCTCTTCTTTGAGAATATTCAGCACCATACGTAAGCTGTCCCATGTATAAAACCTGGAATCTTCACCCCAGGAGGATATAAAAAGTGAAAGAGGATTGACTCTCTTTTCAGAAAATTGAGCATTCAGAAGAAGCAGAGTGGTGGGTAGTGACAATAAATAGCATCGGGTTGCTACTGATTAGACTGCCTGGTAGAACACTCTTTTTACTTTCCATTTCCAAAGTGCTTAATTACCCAAGATATTTGTAAATAAAATTAAGCTGAAACCTTGCCTTGTTTATAAACACTCACAAGGCTCTCCATTTTAATTGATTTTTACTTTGTTGCAAAGATCTTTCTATTAGGCCCTCAAAGAAAATTAGATGGGTATCAAAACAATATTATATGTTTAAAAACTCTAACAGTGTAGTTGAAAAAAAAAGTCGGAATTCTATGCTTTCTGAATATTAAACTGCTTATTTCCAAATCTTTGATAGGTTATATTTAAAAGTCTTTTTGAAATGGTATCATGCCAAAGAAGCATGAGGTGATGTGGGGGGTTAAAGAATCCATTGAATTTTGATTCAGTGGCAAATGTGTATTGAGTACATAGCTTTCTGCTGTTAGATATGATGGCCTCGTGCTATTGTCTTACTTCCCTTGTGATTACTGCTGAGGGGACTGATAATCTACCATGTTTCATACTTGAGACAATTGCATCTCAGAAAGATTCTAGGTTTTGGGAAATTTTATTAAAGAAAATATTTTGAATTAATGTTAATTATAGAAATCCTTAATTTACTTGCTTTTTGAGTATGCTTTTTATTTTTGTAAAGCTACTGTTGTTTCGCATGCAAGACAGCTCTTAGTTTAAGAAATAATAATCTATCTCTTTATATTTCCCAGAGTTTGCACTTAGCTTTGTGGTTCTTGCTGCCCCTCAGTACTTGTTGACATATATTCTTAAAATGTGGGAATATGCTTTTTAAGAAGAAATGAACTTAAAACAACAACAAAAAAAAGACAAACAAACAAAGAAATAAAAACTCGTAGACACAGACAATAATTTAGTGGTTACCAGAGGGTAAGGGGGAAGGGGGTGGTAGATGAGGGTAAAGGGGATCAAATATATTCTGACGGAAAGAGAACTGACTCTAGGTGGTGAACACACAATGTGATATATAGATGATGTATTACAGAATTGTATGCCTGAAACCTATGTAACTTTACTAACAATTGTCACCCCAATAAACTTTAAATTAAAAAAAAGATATTTTTTTAAATGAAGAAAATTCTTCCAGTGCTTTTTGAAAAACACGTTAGAAGAATGGAATTGTATCCTACCAAGACATCCTCTAAATTCATGGGGGGAAAAGAATATATATATATATATATATATATATATATATATATATATATATATATATATATATATACTAAACCTTTTTAGGGACTCACATTCTTTAAAAATATTTCAAATTATGGAGTCATTACAGTCCATAATAAATCTGTGATAAAAAGTGTTTTGAAACAACAGCAAGCAAAGCTTGATTTGGGTCAGTGCTTGTCACGCTTCAGTAAGCATCAGAATCCAGAATCACAGAGTAGGGTTACAATACAGGTTCTTGGGCTCCATTCCTGAAGGTTTCCATTCTGGAAGACATGGGTGGAGCCTGAGTATTTGTATTTTGAATGAGTTCCTGGGTAACATTGATCCTGCCAATCTAGGGACCACATTTTGAATAGCCTTGATTTAGGGATGACCCGAGGAGCATAGTCTGTGCTAACAATTTAAATCATGTTTTTTCAGAAAAATAACTTCAACTGTTCCAGAAGAGCTCAGTGCCCAGACACAAATGTCAGCTCTGTGCAGATGCAAGGTGATGCCAATTATTTCATCAACCATCTTGGAGTTCCCACTTTGCAGTTTGCTTATGAGGACATCAAGGTGTTACAGGTGATTGTTTCTAAAAATGCAAAACACCCACATCCACACACAATATAGCCGACACGCAGAATTTGATTTTATCCTGGCTACTTGTCTCTCTTACCAAATAGGTCACTGGAAGCTGCTTTATTTTTGAGAGTTATTCTTGTTGTTCAGAGGCTTTGTAACAGTATTTGAAACATCAGCTTTTTTCAATAGTGTGGAATTCAATTAAAAAAGATTTATACTGTCACTCACATTTTCACAGTGTGCTTTGTAACAAGAAATTTGCAGTAGTTGGATTGACATCAAAACGTAATTGTAATCTTCAGTATTCAGAGACAGATGACATGTGCACCAGCTTCTCTTCTCCTCGCCCAAGGGAAAATGTATTTCATGTGCTGTCTATTAATGTTTGTCTTTTGGATTAGCTATCCAAAGTTTGTCAACAGTTTTTCTTCCTAAAAAAATACTTTTTGTGTGTGTGAAGATAGGAGGCTTTTTCCAGAGCATTAGCACAGAGGCGTGATTCACCTTAATTAAGTCTGTGTTCATCCATCTATTGGACTTCAAGCATTTTAATCTTTCTCAGATTGTGTCACAGGAAACTTTCTCTGTAGATCTGAATCAGTTGAAATATTTTATGTTCTTTTACAAATCAAGCATGTCTGTTGGGGAGCTCTTTAAAAGCCTCTAGGGTGGCCTGCTTCATAATTATTACATTAACAAAATAGTGGCTGGAAAATAAAGGCTGCTTTGTTCTTAATCACAGATGTTCCTGAAATGTTGTGTTTAAAATTTATTTTTATAAGCTCAACTTCTGATATGTAATATCTTAATTGCTGATAGGTTTGTAGCAATATTTAGCTTTATGTTTCTCTGCAGCTTCCCCTCCTTCCCATCCCTCTGCCCTCACCCTCCACCCCCATTCCACCGCAACCCTCATTTCTTCTGTAAATAGCTAATAACCACTAAGGACTTAAATCCATAGAGGGAGAAACTCTGGGTGAATCTTATTATGATGAGATAAATTCTTGGGTAATATAAAAGTAATAATTGTGATTTATCTGGTTTTTTTTTTTTTTTACATTTGGATTTTCATATGCTATTGTTTGAAGATGAGGTTCACGTGTAGAGGTATCTTTCCTTTTATGCAAGTCCACTATATACACCATAATAATATGGAGGCATTAAGAAATTAACTCATTTTTAATTTTTCAACTTGATCTTTCTTAATATCTCTCTATCATTCCCTCATCTCAGCCCATCCAGCTCCTGTCATGTTAACTCATTGAATGATAGCTTTTATTCAATGCATGTCTGATTGTCTTGGTTGAGTTTTAAGCCAAGACTTTAGAGAGGCAGTGTAGAATATAGTCTTAAGAATGGAACAATGGGCTGGCCGAGTCGCTCAGTTGTTTAAGAGCTTGCTCAAGAGTGCGAGCTCTGAGCAATAGTGGTTCAATTCCCGACCAGAGCTGAGCTGCCAATAGGTGGCAGGATGGCTCAGCAAACAACAACAACAACAACAAAAAGGAAAAACAAAAACAAAAACGGGAGTAATAGTTGACTCCTGACTCTGATACTTACTAGACAAATTCTTTAACCTCTTTCAGAATTGTTTTAGGAAACTTGAAATCTATTTCATAGAGCTATGATAAGGATGAATGAGACTATGTATGTAAAGGGATTGGCTAACGTTGAGCATGTAATAAGGACTTTGTCAACCATAGATATCATCACAATTACTATTGTCTGATTGTAGGTCCAACATATTAGTGGGAGACTTTCTAAATATTTTAGATAGGAACACATTATTGGAAGGGAGGAGCTTATTAACTATTGAGGACAACAGCTTCTAAGGAAGATGAGGTGACATTTGATTAGGATCAGCTGGAGGATATGAGGTGTCAATAGGAAGAGGTGGAAACCAGTACCACTGAAGTTCTAAAAAGTACTATTATCACTGTGAAACTCCAGAGGCTAAAGTCTATCTATTAGAACCAGCTTAATCTAAAGAAGATAATCATGTTTTTTTTCTAAATTATACCCGGACTATCTAACTTCTACCATCAAAATCATTTCCTATTATATTTGTCTCCAAAAGAGTAATTAAAAGATAATTCCCTATGTTTTATAAGAAATGACCATGTTTATATAGCTGTAGTATGGAAAATTTTTAAAAATGGATGTGTCCCTTACAAAATATGAAAGATTGAGGTGAGATAAATTTATGTGATGAACTCTTCAAAGAACAGATAACATCTTTATTTTCCGTGTTAACCTATAATAAATATTTGTATATATTAAGAGGAATTATAAACATTGAACGGTTTTATCCATGATATAAAGATCTATCTTATATCAACTAGTAAATTAGGTAAAGAAATTAGAGCTTTTTCATGAATTTGAAATTAGATTTAAAATATAACACACATACTTATATATTATATTATGTAGATTATACATATAATGTATAACATTATATCCACCACCTATTGAGTACTTACTGCATTATGTGTTTTTACCTCATCTCTAAATTATACTCACAATATCCTTCCCTATGAGTCAGCTATTATTATTAACACTTTTTCCCCCCCATGGATAAAATGAAGCTTAAAATATGGTATCTTACCCAAGGTCATAAAAATATTAAATCGGCAGGACTGGAGTTGACCTCAGATCTATTGAACAGTAAGCTCATGTTCTCAAACTATTACACTAAAGGTTGGAAATTAGAAGCTGAAGGGCCAGATCCAGTCCACAGATATATTTTATTTGCCTGTGCTTTATTGAAAACTTGGACTTCTGGAAACATTGGGTTCTTTTTCTCCATGGACACGATCAGCTAAATAGCGCACTACTCACCAACTTGCCACGTTCTTTATTAAAGAATGTGCCATGTTGTTTTTCCTAGAGTACAGTTAAGAATCATATTTCTTCAACATCTGTTTCTATGAAATATTGGGAAATGAATGCTCAACCTAAAGGGGCACATGTTTCACTGGACTTGTGTTAAAAATATTATGTGTTCTGCCCCCACAAACCGAGCTCATTATTTCTGTACTCATTTTGAGTAAAATAGTTAAAGTGGATAATTCTATAGTCCGTTTTACTTTAAAATTATATGTTCCAAGTGAGCTATTTTTATGATATGTTTTTTTTTAAGAAATTATCTGTTTAAAATTTATTTAGGTGATTACAAAGCTAACCTTAGTATTTCTGTCATTGTTTAATCCAGCAAGATTGATTTTGAATCAGTTATATTCAATTTCAACAATGAATAATACTATTAGAAAAAAATTAAATGGTAGGAAAATGAACTAGTGCCATGACACCCCTTTCTATGGACATATGGGACATTATTAGGTCTGAAATTATTTTTTGATTAAACATGACATTTTATAATCTCTATCCCAAATACTTCATACTATCCATATCTCCATCGATACCTTTTCCCTATAGCTTCTCTGGATGCTAATGTATTGCAGAAGATTACTTGAAGCCCCTTTTACTTTAGCTTTTCCTGGGGTCTATGCTGTTATATATTTCCAATAATCAAACTCCACATGTGCAATCTATGGATTCGCCGTTTGTTAGAAAAATCCCTTGTCATAAAATATTGTCCTGTTAATTGAAAGGACTCCAGTTGTAAGCTTCATTAAATAAGGTTTTCAATTTGTAAACATTGTTGCACCTGTTAACAGAAGCATTCTGTGCAGATTAAATGTAATGCAGAGATTGCTGGAAAAAGGAAATGAAAGACAGATAGATGCCTTCTGATTAAGAGTGCAATATTTATGATATTTCTTATGTCGCTTAACATCTGTTTCACATAATTTTTGTTCCAGGTCAGTATATTTACTCTCTATAGGGCATGTCGGAGGACTGGCTTTCTTAGTATATTGAAACATCAGCTCATGCCCTAGCAAGCTTTATACCACATATTAAAGCTCTGCTTCCTCACTCTGTTTAACCTTTTATTTTTTGCTCCTCTGCTTGAAACATTCTATTTTAAACCCAATTTACCTCGATAATGGAGGATTTAACATTTAAATGATAATGAGATAAAGGGGTATTATAGCTTTTGTATAGCAGGGTTTATATGCATAATTGTTTCAATATCATTTAGTAACCCAGCGACTGAAAAACAAATAGCATAGATGTTTTGAAACTCTTATTATTTTTAAGTTAGATGACTTTGATATCAATTCTGATTCTTAAGCTGATATACAGCAGCATGAGTGTGTGTGTGTGTACTTTAAAAATAATTTATGCAGATACAATATGGATACATTACTATAATACACACATACACATTTTGGAGCAAAGTAACTCATAGTTTACATATCGATTCTTCATGTTTTATTCTACTAAGTAGAAGAAGAATTTATCATACTTGTATCAGACATCATTTTTTCATTGTATTTTCCGTTTGGAACTTAGTCACTGTTATTGTTATTTTAACAGGTAATAACAGTTCAAACATCAATTGAAAGCTCTTGGCTTAAGTAACAAAACAGTTATGTGTAACTATGCATAATTGCAGGATGTTTTGCAGTATCTGATAGAATCTGTTTCATGATGATAGCTACAAAACTTACAAAATGTCACTTAGAAATGTGAAAAATGTGCCAGGTTGCGACAGGACAGAAAGGGATTCTTAGTGTTTTCTTGAGTTCATTACTTTTCTTTGTACCTTATTTTAGAAAAAGTACTTTCAGTGTCAATCAAACTGTATGGTATTATTATTTTTAGATCAGACTTGCTTCATTAAGGGCAGAGGTTCTCAAATATTTTGTTCTAAAAACCCATTTATCCTCTAAAAGTATTGGAGACTCCAAACAAAAGAGCTTTTGTTTATGTGGCTAATATGCGCAAATATTTACTGGATTAGGATTTAAAATTGAGAAAATGTATATTTATTTATCAATCCTTGTAAAATACCAATAGTAAACTTGTTACACATTAATATAAATAATTTATCTTTTATGAGAGTAAATTATATTTCCCAAGACAAAAAAACATAA